AAAAAAACTAATAATCTGAAATTGACTTGATTTTTTCATCCTACTTCGTCTTTTTCATCCTACTTTCTTGTCATATATTTGGCATTTAGTAACTATGAGGAACCATCTTTTAAGCTCAATTTGTAAACAAAGTAAATGGGGAGTTAATGATGCTTTTTAAAAAGGCTAAAAAGCAACAATAAATGCTTTTTTCTCTAATGCAAAACCTAATAGTTTAATGATTGCTTTTATAATGATAGAACATGTTTATAAAGTATTTTATAATGACATTAATAAACAATTGCTAATGACGTTTATGCTTGAATTATAGAACAGTTTAAGGAGGGATTGATAACTGTTTTAAATTTATTTTTAAAACAAGACAGTTTTTGACTTTCTTGCCAGACTATAAAAGGTTTTTAATACAGCAAAAAGCTGAATTACTAAGCAGGAATGTTTTACACCTTAAAATGCTATATTTAAACTAAGTGGATTGTTCATTGCCGTTATAAAACCATCATAAATCAGAGTGGATGCTAAATGGTTACTGAATTGCTACTTGGGATGTATTTCGGTTCACAGTATCAAACCAAGAATTCAAGAGTTCTAGCGCTTCGGGACGTTGACAAGTAGGAGGAATAACTTCTGGCGAAAGAGGCATTCTAACTACAGCGTGTAAGTGCATGTCAGCAAGTGGTCAATTTATACCACCAATGCTGATTTTTCCAAGAGTTTGTCTCACTGAACAGATAAAAAAGGAGCTCCATCCGAGACAGTTTTTAGCTGCAACGGTAGCGGATAGATGACAACAGCAAATGTTTTGTTAGACCATTTTTTAAAACATAGTCGACCAATGTCTGCTGATCCCGTTCTTCTGCTGCTGGATGATCACGTATCGGACATAAAAAATTGGCGTTTCTAGACAAAGCTAAACAAAACAACGTAACCTATTATCAGCTTACCCACACTGTATAGTCATCGACTCCAACCGCTGGATGTTAGCTTTATGGCCCCACTGAAGAGTCACTTTTCGAAGGCAATATAAAAGTATTTGCGAAACAATCCTGGAAAGGTTGTTACTGTTAATGAAATAAGCCACATTCTGGGTACAGCATTCATTCAAACTTGTTCTGCATCCATAGCAGTGAATGTATTTCGAAAGTCCGGCATTGTTCCATTCAACCGCCACGTTTTCGGAGAAGACAGCTTTGCTCCGTCAGACGTCACTTCTTCTTCTTCTTTCCTTTATTTAACGTCAGTCCGCAATCTAGTGTGCCAATCACCGACGGACATCGATTGCCATCCATTGACGGCAATCTAATGTGCAGCAGGAAGGCAGCTTCCACACCTGCGTAGGATATTGCACCCATTCAAGATACACATAGGCCGGGACCAACGGGTTTACTTCCCTTCCGAAGGAAGAAGTGACCAGAGATTTTTAAGCCTCAGAAAAATCCCACCGACCGACCTCGGCTGGGATTGAACCCAGACCCATTGGGGTGAGAAAGCAGTCATGCTTACCACTACACCACCGGCGCCGGCTAGCTGACGCCACGGATGTTGATATATTCAGCTATACACAGGAAACAACGGAACAGTACAACAATATCACCAATGTTCGAGAAAGCGATGATGAGGATCCTTGGAAGTGTGTGTGTGTGTGTGTGTGTGTGTGTGTGTGTGTGTGTGTGTGTGTGTGTGTGTGTGTGTGTGTGTGTGTGTGTGTGTGTGTGTGTGTGTGTATTCCCTCTAACCCCCACTGGCCGGCAGTGTTATTATGGAAGAACTATCTCTACCATGTCGAATTTATGGTCATTGTAGACATCTTTAGTCCGGGAGTTAGAAGGTGGTAGCTCTATTGCAGATCTAACAACCCATTTAAGAGTGTCTGAAGAGTCACGCCCATTCCGAGGTTACTTTCACTCACAATAAGCCCCGCATGTATGCATCACCGTCATCAAATGGATATTGGTTATATATACACACTTCCAGGCTCGAAAATATTTTTTTCAAACCTGACATGTAGGGGAAATGACGGCTTCGGCATGACAGACTATTATCGGCAACCCAAATTGAAACACTATTTTCACTGGATTTTCTTACGAAAACACTTCGCTGAATGCATGCATACGATTCTTTATGCTTTCAGGTTCAATTTGACTATACTTTTACCACTGAGAAAAAGCAATCTAGCAAGGTTTTCTTGAAATGAAACACACGCACTACAAATTGTAGCTGATTTCGAGTTGCCGATAATAGAACAGCAGATTTACATGCAGTTCAAATGGAACGGTTGCCGAAGAAAAACTGGTTGCCGACAATACTCGTTCTCACTAGAGAAGATTGGAGCTTTGTAAAAGCGTTTCAAAACAGTTTTTAACAATTCTTTTGACTGAAATTGTTAGAGCAGCTGGCAGCAAAAGATTGTAAACAAACCAATACTGCATATGTGTGCGTTCCTTAGAGAAAAAGGCATAGAAAGAAGGTCGCTGCTTAGGTTGCCGAGAATACGTTAATTCCCCTATTTAGTTTAATTTTGATATTAATTTTTTTTTAATTATTGGAAAGCTCTCACCATATTCTGCTCTTCCGCCGTCGTTAATTGCTACTTTTGAAATGCCAGCAAGTCACTTTTTAGTGACTTGGTCACTTTTTTTCAAGTCAGGCACTAAAAAGTCTAATTTTTTAAGGCCAAGTCACTAAAGTCAGTTTTTCTTGTAATAAGTCACTATTTTCAACTTTTTTTAGCGTGAATTTATGTCAAGATTGATTATTCTTTGCTTTGTGATGTTTAATCGTAGCTACTACTAATTTTTCTATATAAAATAACCTTAGTTTTCCAAGTAAGTTTAAGATCTAAATATATTCAATGTCTTGAATTTTGGTATTCCATGTACAAATTCAAGATATTGAAAATTTTCAAAGTGCCAAAATTAAGTAAAAATATAAATGATTTATTTCATGTTCGTAATTAACTTTATGAAAGATTAGAGACCTTCAATGCAGTACCATTAACTTCATAATAATTGTAGGAACTTTGGAGAAGTTCTGAGGAATGTAAGGAAATGCTGAGAATTTCAGTGAAGCTCCGTAAACTAACTGCAGGAAAGTTAACACGCTGAAAATATGGAGAACTTACTAAAGCTTTAAGAACTTCAAAGCGGTTCTTTAAGCATCCGAAACTTTTCAGGAACTTTTATGAAGTTCCTAGAATTTCAGAGAATTTCACAGGTGTCAGCGAACTTGAGAAATATAGAAAACTTGAGAGTTATTGTGCAAATTTTTAAGAAGTTCTAAGCACCTCAGATAAGCTAGATCTAGAGATCTTTGGGGAATTTCAGTTCTTAACAGCAGTTCCCGTAAGTTTAGTCTAGACTTTTGGAGCAGTTTAAAGATCTACAATCGTGAATTTAGATAAACTCAGGATAGTTCCATGATGTGCTGAAAAAATCGAGAACCCTTAAGGTGTTCCGAGAATTAACCACTTTGTCAAGCAGTTTTGTCGTGACTTTCTACCAGCGATTCCACAAAACTGGACCAACTAATTTCTATTATTTTATGAAACGCACAAATGATGGCTACTTTTCTCATGGTTCTAAAAAAAATCTCAAAATAATGTTTTATTTCAAAGTTTAAATCATTTTAAGTGTTCGAATTTTAGGGAAATTCAGAGACCTTCAGGAATATATCAGAAACTTCACAGTCCAGAGAATTTCAGGGAAATTTTAAGGTGTTTACGGGAATTCTATGTATTTCCGAGCAGAAGCGAGATCTTCAATAGAACAAAAATCTTTAGGGAAGCTTCGAGAACATCAAGACAGGTCAGAGAATCAAAGGACAGTTAAAATAATTTCAAGAAAATATTAGAAACATTAAAGAAGTTTTTAGAAACTCAGTGAATTTCCGGAAACTTCAGCAAATCCCAAGAGAATTTCTGGAACGTGATACAAATGATATGAACATCTGGAAAAAGTGAGAGTATTTTAAGGGTGTTAGGTATATCATGGAGATTTCAAGAACCTAAAAAAATACGAAAATTTAGCTAAGTTGATTAGAGAACATCAAAGAAGTTCCATTAAATAAAAAAATGCGAGAACTTTTAGCAAACCAGAAAACTAAATTTAGATATTTTTGGATATGATATTCAGCGAAGTTCCGAGTACTTCGAGGACGATCAGATAGCTTCATAATAATCCCATTAACTTAAGCAAATTTGCAACGACTTACAAGGAGTTCCGTGGTATTATAGGGTATTCCAAAAATTTGATTATTGATCCGAAAACGTCAGAAGCGTCAGGGAATTATGAATATATATCAGAAAATTTGCTGGATTATTAAACAAATTTGAAGAACTTCAGGTAAGCATTCCATTATTTCTATTATTTTGAACAATTTTACCTAGTGTCTCACTTTCTAACAGGTGCTTCCAAAAATTTGGTATTTTATAATCGTAAAATTGAACATATTTGTACTTCAGTGGCGAACGTTTTAGCTCAATTGATCATAAGTTAAAAAAGTTACATCATGTCAAAGTTGACCATTTTGTATGGAAATCGGCATGCGCTGCTATTATATTGAACACAATTGTAGATACATTCAAGGAGATAAATTAATAGGGATATACACAAAGCGCATGGTAATCGTATGCATAGTATATATGTTTACGATGCGCATAGTGAATACCCCTATTGATCGTTTTCCCTTTAAAATCGCAGACGTCAAACCATTGCATGCGAAAGTGTTCTAGCCCACGCCGAACCGCACCGTCGCTTCGTGAAACAGAATGTAATTTAATCATTCACACACATTTGCACATGGGAATTTCAGGTTACAAGGAATGGACAAACAAGAGCAAAATAATGGCACAAACTCGTAGCACGCTCGTAGGTAAGTATACAAGCGAGGAGCGATAAGAGCGTTTGCGTCCGTTGTTGTTTTGCTCGAATCATCATATTTAAAATTGACAATTTACTGATATAAGGGAAATCAGACAAGACGACACTTACTCTGGAAGCGAGATCGAATCGTTTGGTTCTACGCAAATCCAGTCGCCGGGGTGCTCTCAGACACTGCCGGGCGTTCGTACAGTTCGATTCGCGCGTGTCGCGTTGTGACATATATTACGAGTAATTCTTCAACGGTTCAGAGGGTACCACATTTTTGCGTCTATTAAAACCACATATGCTGCAGCACGTGCGACTGTGAATTGTGTTCATTTCGGTTTCCAGAAGGAAATACGCACGCCTAACCATGGCTTTCGTTAGAACCGGTGTGCTATTGGCGGTGTTGAGCCTAGTGGGAATAGCAAATGCTGCAACGGTAATCAGTGCGGAGGTACCGATGCGCCAACAGACGCAGTTGAACGAAGAGCCGGTAATCGGAGTCCTAGCTCAGGAAATGTCCTACTCGCTTGCGGCCAAGTACGAGGAGGACTACGAAAGCTACATTGCGGCGTCCTACGTCAAATTCGTGGAAGGTGCCGGAGCACGTGTGGTACCAATCTGGTGAGTGTCCTAGTCGCATGAACGACGAATAGAAAGGAAGTGATTTTGCTACGCCTATCAGTAGCAGCAAAAAAACACCACTTGAGAGTGACTATTAGTAATAGTTTATACATATGTATCGTAGGACCGGGCAAGATCGCCACCAGAGGCAAGATGAGCACCATTCAATTTTACATCAAAAATCGTATATTTTTTTTAAAAATTGAACATACGTACGTTTAAACAATGCTCCAAAGATGCAACGTTCCAAAACTGATTTAGAAATATTAAATACCTAACTACCGAGAAATTGATGAAAATATGCCAAACGAAAAAAAAATCCTCTCTTTGCTATAATCAATATCCCTTTTTTGTTTCGTTTAAACATCTAAGACAAAGTTGTGGCCTAGTTCGGATGCCACACTTTCGGGGTGTAGTTTTGTTCTATTGAAAGATTCGCGCCGTGGGCGAGTTTGAACTCAGGAAACGTGCTGATAATGTGTTCGTTACGTGTTTTGGTGGTGATTCGGTGGCCGATGTTGCCGTGAATCAGCAAGTTTTCCGTTTGCAAAAGTGCTCGTCTACTGGTCTCTCGCCAGTGTCGGGAGATTGTGAGCAATCTGAAGGATGCCTCGCTGGATACGCACAAGACTGGACAAGTGGTAGCTGGTGGCCGCGAAAGGTTCCTGGGGAAAGTACTAGACGCGAACTTCCTCCCAGATGAGCATGACAATGCTAGACAAATTGTGTTCATCGAAGGAAGTATTAATTAGCATGGTGAGACCAGTCCAAATACTTTTCACAATAAAAAAAAAACAAACTAAATACGTGTCAGGATTCAAAAGAACATTTTTAAACTGGAAGTGTGTGTGTGTGTGTGTGTGTGTGTGTGTGTGTGTGTGTGTGTGTGTGTGTGTGTGTGTGTGTGTGTGTGTGTGTGTGTGTGTGTGTGTGTGTGTGAGTGTGTGTGTGTGTGTGTGTGTGTGTTATACTAATATCAAATTGATAGAGGTAATACATATATGCGGGGCTTATTGTGAGTGAAAGTAACCTCGGAATGGGCGTGACTCTCCAGGCATTCGGAAATGGGTTGCTAGATCTGTAATAGAGCTATCACCTTCTAACTCCCGGACTAAAGATGTCTACAATGGCCATAAATGCGATATTGTAGAAAGAGTTCTTCTATAATAACACTGCCGGCCACTGGGGGTTAGAGGGAACACACCAAACAAACCATATTTTGCCACATATAGAGAGAACAGTTCACAAAATACTCGATAAACAAGAAAAAGTAGAAGTAAATATCACTTTAAATCAACAAAAACTTAATTTAAATAACATACCAATAGCTTAATGATATATAATAGCAAAATGTGATACTAATTTACTACGATTTTTGCTATTCTATAGATATGGCAACAACTGACGTTGCTATTACTAAGGTATGGTACCATAGATTTTTTGCAATTATTTTTGATATTTTACCTTTTATAGCAATCACAATAGCAAATTTTAATGTTCTTTTCCCCAATGTTAATAGTAAAACTTGATATTGATTTAATATTCTCGTCTATTCGGGTATGCGGATATCGCCTAAAGGTATGCAACGGTTGATATAAAACAGTTGCTGCGTATATTTTCCACCCATGGTTGATCCATCCAATAAAAATAAAAATTAACAACTGATATCGTGAGTACAATATATCCGAAAGTTACGTTCAATCATCTATCAGAACGAGTGAAAGATTCTTCTGGCTGAAATTTGCATTCTAAGATGTATTTAGCCATAGCCATATAGGGGAAATGGCTCTAATGTTGACCTATGGATCTAAGATTGGGCCCATCGCTAAAAATCTGTTATCTAGATGAACGCGTCATTGGGACGGTACTAATGAATATGTTTGTTCGCTATTGACAATTTAGTCGATTGCTTAATTTATGTATGGGCCCAAATTAGGGGCATTTTGGCCGACATTACATCCATTTCCCCTAAATGAAAATTGTTTTATCAGATATTTTGAAAATATGTAACACATAGGGGAAATGTCGGCTTCGGCAATACCTTAACATATTATCGTCAGGGGGTAAACAAAGTCATAGAGCACTCAAATTTGGCCAATAGATGCTCTGGTATATTCACATGCCAAAATTGAGCTCTCAAGAACGTTGTTTACCCCCTGACGATATTAGAATAAGGTATTACCGAAGCCGTCATTTAGCCTACTATATAAAAACTCTATACGATATCAAAGGTAATATCCCAAGCTACAAAATGGAATCAATGTTTCTGGTTCTGAAGTATTGTAGAGAGTGAACTTTATCATTATATTCTACTATCAAAGTTACCCGCATTATCAAAGCTACCCTGTTTTACGGTACTAAATATATTCTTTTGTTTCCAGGATCAATAAGCCTCGCGAATACTACGAAGACATCCTACCCAAGCTGAACGGCGTCCTACTGCCGGGTGGTGCCACCTGGTTCAACCAATCCAACGGGTACGCCGATGCAGGTCGTCATATCTACGATGTGGCAGAAGAGATCAACATACAGGGTGGTTTCTTGCCATTGTGGGGCACCTGCTTAGGGTTTGAATTGCTCACCTACCTGGCGGCTAACGGCGACGAGCATCGTGCTCATTGCAGTTCGAACAACCAAGGTCTGCCTTTGGACTTCAAATCGGACTTTAGGAAGAGTCGCATGTTCGGCGAAACTCCTGATGAAATCATCGAAATCCTAGCGTCCGAACCAGTCACACCGAATTTCCACCAATACTGCGTGACCGAGAAGAACTTTAGCGCCTATGGATTGGATCGGGAATGGCGGGTTATGTCGACCAACCAGGACTGGAACGGATTGGAGTTCATTTCCACCATCGAACATAAAGTGTAAGCTATGTTCTTGTTAATCGTATAGCTAATTTTTGCTGAATTACTTTTAATTTTTACCACAGACTTCCATTCTACGGTATCCAGTTCCATCCGGAGAAGAACATCTACGAGTGGGTACGTAACAAGAACATTTCCCACACATCGAATGCCATCAAAGCGTCGCAATACTTTGCGGACTTTTTCGTGAACGAAGCCCGAAAAAGCGGTCAGAGCTTCCAGAGTGAGGTCGAAATCGATCGACACGTGATCTACAATTTTCCGATGACGTTCACCGGTCTGAAGAAGTCCGCATTTGAGCAGTGTTACCTGTTTGAAGGTAATGTGGGCTACTTGGAATTATCTGAGACGGGGAAGAATTCCGCTGCCGCCGGTGGTGTGATAGGTGTGTACAGTGCTAATGGCATGGTTTGGACATTTGCATGCGTACTTGGCATGATATTGAGGTCAATGAGCATGGATCACTAATAAAATGGATTAAATTTCGACATTGTTCGCATGATTTGATTACTAACACTCAAACTTCCTACTAATATTAATATATATTTCTGTAGTAACTATCCGAAACATCATTGTAACCGATGTAACATAAGGCTAAGGTTTGCATTATATAATTAACATTTAGTCGTAATAGATGACAGAAGACAAATTTAAACCATTCCAATTTCCAGCCCAACGCTACGTGGAACGCAAGAAGAAAAAGTGCAACAAAGAGAAAACTCCGAACTTGTGCAAACATTGAGCTTCATCCGACTGGGACTCGAAAAATCCAGATGCGTTATCAATACAGGTAGGTAGCACACAATGTATAATGCATAATAAAAATCCATGACAATATATGCTTCGAGGTGTTTTGATTATTATCTCGATTGTGCTGACAGTCACTTCTTTTTTCGCGATTGTTAACAACAACGATGACACGGTATAATTGCTCATACAGCGGGACAGGAAGGTGGATGATAAAATTAAACCTATCAGTCAGCGCTACTTGGCGTGAACGTGATCATAGGGTTGATCGGTCATAACTCAGTTACGAATTTAACAAAATTTAGAGAGATTTCAAAGAAGCATATTTTGAAAATGCACAGCTTTTCAATTGTCTTGCTTCGAAAGTTAACAAAATCATACAATAAATATGCAACAACTGGCATTCGGTCTGGTCTAATACGAAATTACACGACCCGTTTGCGAACCTAGCATTTTCAAAATTTTGATTTATGGTTTTCATTGCAATTAACAAAATTAAATTTGGTTGGGTCGTATTTTACAGAATAATTGTCCTTGACGTGAGTGGAGTCACAACAAAATCAAAACCCTCCCTCCTCGTCACGTTTTTCCTATACCTAATGCACTAATTGTCTCACATTTGCAAGCTCCCCTTTCCCCCATATAGCAATTTTTCGTAACATTATAATATTTTCGATTGTAACAGGAGACGTGTAATCGGAAAGTTATTAAAAGTTAGACTTGGAAGTTAATTTACAGTTTCTTCAGAATCAGAGTCAAACAATCACATATCAACTGTTGCAACTTGCAAGTCACCCCGAAGTGTAACGCATAGAAAAAAGTGCATTTTTCCAGTAAATTCAGATTTGAATTATGATATGAATAATGATTGATGCCGAATAGTATTTACCATTAGACCACAGACAAACAGACGTAACTCTTTATATAAATGTTCCATAAAAATATCGTGATGGAACTCACCAACGACATCTCGCGAGCTATTCGCGAAAGAAAACTTCCTTGCCAAATCTCAAACAATGTTGCATTCAAGTTCGATGGAAGGTATAGAAACGTCAAAGTGATCCGATGCCAGCACTGTGGTGACGGATTCGCTAAACAAACAATATTTAAATTGTTCGTTAATTGCGTGTACTGAGGAGAACGAGCTACGTCTGTTTGTCTGTGATTAGACACTGCAATCGGGGTTACAATCGAATATTGAGGATGTATTCCTTATTAGAGAGTTGTATAGAATTTTCTCCTTTAGCTTACTTAAATCTTTGGTTTTTATTAGTTAGGTAGGTTCCGATTCAACACATTGTAGTTTCATTTTTACACCTATGATCTTGACTTTTTTACCTAGGGGATGAGTAGTTAAGGGGGTTAGATTTTGATAAGTTCTTTAGTGGGAATGACACTGATGAAGACTGCACATTGTAGTCGAAATACGTATCTGTCATGGATACCAAAATTAATTAAGTGGAATTAAATGGAAGATAAACGCTTTTGCTGTTTTATTTAGCATTCCGCTAACAACCCAATTTCATTACTTCATTATTATGGCTACCAAGCCTTTGGGGATTTTCCTTATTAGAGATTTGTATAGATTTTTCTCCTTTAGCTTACTTAAATCTTTGGTTTTTATTAGTTAGGTAGGTTCCGATTCAACACATTGTAGTTTCATTTTTATACCTATGATCTTGACTTTTTTTTACCTAGGGGATGAGTACTTAAGGGGGTTAGATTTTGATAAGTTCTTTAGTGGGAATGACACTGATGAAGACTGCACATTGTAGTCGAAATACGTATCTGTCATGGATACCAAAATTAATTAAGTGGAATTAAATGGAAGATAACCTTTTTTTTGCTGTTTGATGTATTCCTATTATCTCGCAACTACTTATGATTTCCAATCTTTGAAGGCGAGGTGAATATAAGACACACTGATTCTGTTAGAAAATTAATAAAAAATTTGCGTTTTCAACTAATTGTCACTCACAATAAACAGAGTGTAAACAACTAACGCTCACGCGACAATTGTTGTTATTTATGTTTATTGATTTACTAATCAACAAAAAACGGAAAATCCACACAAGTAAGTAAATCACCCTGTTTGATGGTACCTAAATTCTGGGACTTAGAGATTGAGTCATTTAATATCTGGACGCAAAAAAACGGATGTATCTCGCAACCATCTTAATGAAATTCAAATGTTGAGCATTCAAAATGAAGGTCATTTATTTCACTTTTAAAGGAAAAATGGCGAAAAAAAAATATTCCGATTTGGTTTTGATGAAATTTCGAACTTTTCTTCGAATACCACTCATCATATTTTGGACACTCTGTTGGCTTACCTGAGCCGAGGGGGCGACTCTATCTACGATGCAGGGGAAATTGTGTTTTGTTGTGCTTTGCTGCGCACACGCTGAGTAGATAGAAAGAAGGTTGATGACGATTCTGAAGATTTCCTGCAAAAATATTATGCGTGATGCAAGTAGATGAGATAAATGAATTTTTCGAAGATTGATTCGCGAGTGTGAGATTTGTTGAGCATCTAGAATTGATATTTAGATGTGTCGCCCCCCTCGACCCGTTTTGTTCTCCACTCTTCTTTAACTTCTGTTTGGTAATTGTCCAATATTTCTCAATTTGGTAGCATTGAGAGCAGTTGGGTGGATTTGATTCTGTGACACTACCCCGAATATCACTACCCCGAACGCCATAACCCCGAACGCCGTTACCCCGAACGGTACACTACCCCGAACGCCGTTACCCCGAATAGTACTCTACCCCGAATGACCACTACCCCGAATGGCCACTACCCCGAATTCATTTCCAAAAGCTGTTTATTTTACTAATTGTCTTTTGTTGGTTAAACACTGGTACTATATTGTAAATAGAACAAAAAGTTAAACCTATGAATTATTTAACAACAGGGTGATTCCCGTCAAAAAGTCCAAGTGTTCGACGTTTTTTTTTTGAACGTCAAACTGGGTTGATGTTGATATCGGAATTAGTCAATACGATACTAAGAAAACATTTTACAGAAGATCATCCAATCAGGGCCGGTTTAACAATTAATGGGGGAACGCCTTTGGCATAAATCCACTTGGCTTAACATAACGTAGCATAATGGTCCTTTGGGATAATGGTCATTTGGATTATAAAACATTCCCCAGAAAACCATTCCCTAGAATTCTATTTCCCAGAATGCACCATTCCTCAGAATGAACCAGTCCCCAGAAAAGTATGCCATGTATTGACTAAGGGAATATTCCCTGCTTTATCATACATCCAAAGAATTTCTTATTTTCTCTTTTATATATTCAAAGAAAGATATATTCACTTCTTTATCGTTTATCCATAGAATTACTGATGTTCTCTTTTAAATATTCAATATTCTCTTCTTTATTGTATATCCAAAGAATTAATTGTTTTCTTTTGTTATATTTTCAAAGAAAGGAATATTCCCTTCTTTATTATATATTTATCGAATTAATGATGTTCTCTTTTATATATGATCAAAAAAGGGAACATTCCCTTCTTTATCATATAAACAAAAAAAAAATATTTCCTTTTCTTATATTTTCAAAGAAGGGAAACCCCCTCGATTCATTAAGGTCTCCTCAAACCCCTTGACCCATTAAGAAGTATTTCTCTTCTTTTTATATATGCGAAAGGAGATTCCTGGAGTGACTATAATAAACTAAAATAGTCAATAATACATGGCATACTTTTCTGGAGAATGGTACATTCAGGGGAATGCTTTTCTGGGGAATGGTGCATTCTGAGGAATGGAATTCTGGGGGATGGTTTTCTGGGGAATGGTATTCTGGGGAATGTTATAGAATTCTCATTTGGTTATACTAAATCTCTTCCAGATTCAAAAATTACATAAATAATACTACACACATTCACTACAACATTTGATAAATAGCTAAACTGACGCTCAAGCCTTACTGACATTTCTGCCCAACTGGCATACTTTCAATAGAGATTTAACCTAGGAAAAAGCTCGCGAATCATAGTGAACTTTTGCATCACTGATTTGCATGAATCAATTTTAAATTGTTATTTTTATCATTTGTATTCAGTTTGAACTACAAAAGAAAATTTTCTTCTAAAAAATTTACCCATCTTTTGATCACATGCTGTTCTTCCATTTGTCTTAATTTCGGGGCTATAGCCATTCGGGGTTGTAGGGTATTTGGGATAATGGCCATTCAGGGTAGTAGGACATCCGGGATAGTGGCATTCGGGGTAGTGACATTCGGGGTAGTGTCACAGAATCGTGGATTGATGTCCTTCGAAGAAATCTACCCTGTTGTCTCGATACCACTGTAGAACTTCTCCGCTGTAGTGGCAGCTTGCCAAATCAGGCCAAAACTTTACAGGTCCATTGTGAGCCTTAATGTACGGAAGAATACGTTTTTTCAGGCACCCTGCTTGTACATTTTGGAATCCATAGTCTTGTTTGTCACGAAAACCTGGATTTTTTGTCCGCAGCTGCAAATACCTTGCCAGATCATAAGCTATTTTGATAATTTATCGACAAAAAAGAACTTGAACTTGCTAGAGACGTCAGCTTGACCAGTGGTTTTATAGAACTCTTGTCCGGGAAGCTGCCCATAATCCATCTTTACGTACGTTTCGTCTTCCATGAGGATGCATCATTCGTACTTTGTAAGAATCTCATTGTACAACTTCCAGGCACGTCTTTTGGCCACTAGATTCTGCTTCAGTGTCCTGTTTGGTTGCTTACTGGTCAGAAAAAGATCGAAATCCTTCTCGCTGACGAATCCTTCTGACGTTGCTTTGGCTGGCATTGAATTTCTTGGCGATATCAAGTCCAACATTAATTTTCGGTTCACGGCTTCCATCAAGTAGGGTCAGGTGGGGCAAGAGTGCCATATGGGGCAAAAGTGCCACCTGCTTGTATCGAAGCCTGAAATACATCACTTTATGGGGTGGCTTTCTCAGTCACCTCAAGACTGAGAAAGCCACCCCATAAAGTGATTCCAATCAAC